GGACCCTGGGATCATGACCTGAGCCGAAGGCACTTAACCAACTGAGCCACCCAGGCGCCCCAGAAATGGGGCCTTTAAAGAGGTAATTGGGTTAAAATAAGGCTATTAGTGTGGGTCCTAATCCAATCTGTGTCCTTCGAAGAAATTAGGACACAGACACATGCACAGAGGACAGGGGGACAGAGGGGAACAGCCATCTACATGCAGAGGGCCCTCAGGAGACACCATACCTTGATCTCTGACTTCCAGCCTCCAGGACTATGAGAAAATAAATGTCTGTTGTTGAAGCCACCCGGCCGTGGTGCTTCTTGTGGTGGCCACGCAGGCTAACCTGGGAGAATCCGTTCTGTGCCTCCCAGCTTCTGGTGGTACCAGCAACACTTGGTGCTCACATCATCCGGTGTCTGCCCCCCATTGCATGGCTGTCTTCCCTGTGTGTCTGTCTGCATCTCTCCTCTTTTTATAAGGACACAGGTCATTGGGTTTAGGGTACACCCTATCTCAGCAAGACCTCATCTTAATTTGATCACATCTGCAAAGACCCTATTTCCATATCAGGGCACATTCACGGGTCTGGGTGGACGTGAATTTGGGGGAGTCACTATTCAACTCAGTACAGGTGTGTTCATCTACATTTCCTTGGAAACCCACTTTAATCCCATCAGGCTCAAATGCTCAGAATCCTTCCAAAAAACAACCCACGCTGTCCAAGATGACAGAGTGGGGGACTCCACTAAGTCCTGGACCAGGCTTCTCAAGGGAAAAATGGCTCTTCTCAAGTCCAGGCAAAAATACATCCAATTGATTCTACCCTTGACCCCTGTGGTCATAGGAACCCACAGCCTCTCATTGGCCATATTTGGATCCCTCCTAGAAGGGCAGGCTGGTGAGAATACCTGCCCCGACCCCTCATCTATTAGGAACACATTAAAAAGACCTAAGGCAAGAACAGTTCCCCCACCCCCCACCCTGTCAACTTTCTCCAAGGTCTCATTTGATCCTCTAACCAGTTATCCGAGGCACAAGGGTCCCCTGCAACACTCAGGTGCCTTCTCGCCCCAAACCCTGACACACTGATCCCTGGCTGGGGGGGGCGGGGTGGGGGGGGGTCAATGGGCAGGTGGGTGTGGCAGGATCTGCCCCACATGCTGATGCTGAAGCCTGAGAAAGTGCCCCAAATGCCTTGGCTCCTGAAAAGTGGGGCTTCCCAGAGTGGTACAGCCAAGGTGGGGTTGGGGTCCATTCCCCACCACACTCCAGCTTGAGGCTTGGGGCACACCGGCTAGCTGGGTTGGGTGGTGAGGGTGGCAGGAGAGCAGAGGTAATTAAGAAAAAAGCCCAGATCTGTTATAGAAGAAAAGCTTAGGAAGGAAGCCGACTCAGAGGCATGTAACTCAAAGTGTGGTCCTCGGACCAGGAGCATCAGCGGCATCTCGAATCTTGTTGGAAACCCAGATTCCCAGGCCCCACTCCCGACCTCCTGAATCAAAGTATGTGGCTTGGCAAGACCTCTGGTGATTCTCAGGCACATCCAAGTTCAAGTGAGACCAGAGGTGCTCACCCTTGATGGTGCACCAGGACTCCTGTGGGCCTTCAGGGACCCAGGTGGCTGCCCCCTCAGCAGGTGCAGATTCAGGTGTGGGTGGGGCCCCTGGATCTGCATTTCCAAGTTCCCTGAATGTAGCCTTTCTCCCAGCTCTGATCTAGTGTCTGCCCGGGGAGCCACAGAATTGGCTACATGTTGGAGTCATGGGGGGACACCTGGACCCACCTCCAAGAGACCCCTCCCCACCGAGTCTGGTCCGTCTGCAATGCAACCTGAGTGGACGTTTAAGGAGCGCTGGTCCAAAAGACCGACTGGGACACGACACCCCAGACAGCAGCTCCAACCACACTAGCCAGAGAACACAGCGGGGATGCCCGTCCCCCCCACCCCGTGCACAGAAAAGAGACTCCGGCCCCCTGGCATCTGCTTGGCTATTTTGAGAGCACACAAGCTTTATTCAGCAGTAATGGCAGTATTTCATGAGAATGAGCTGCACGACAGCGGGAATGCTGTTGTCTGCACAAAGTCTGAGAGCAAAGATTACGGCAACAGAGCTTTGCCCCCACAGCCCTGGCCCCTCCCCCCCAAACAGGCCCCCTTGGCTCCTCACGCTCCTGCATGGCTGTGCGGGGGGGGGGGGGCCTCACTGTGGTCTCTCTCTGCACCTGGACCGCCCTCTCCACCAGCTCTGCCTCCCCGGGGCCACTGGGCTCCCCCCTGCCCCGAGGGCTCCCTCCAGACCTGCCTCCTTCTCCAGGCCATGCGGAGGGGCAAGAACACCATCCCCCACAGTGAACCCAATTCCCCACTGGCTCGTTCCTCCTTTTCCTCAGTGGAAGTTAACAGGGTCTCAGGACAAGAAGGCGCTCTTCATGAAGCCCTCTGCACCCACAAAGTGTTAGCCCTGCCCCCACCCTCCCCCCAGCAAGCAGGCAGGAAACAGGGTGTCCTTAGAATGGACCCCAGGAGCCACGGGGACTGGTGCACGAAGGGGAGGGCCAGGCCCAGGAGCTGCGGGGGGCCAAGTGGAGAAAGTCCCATGTCCTTTTAGCAACCAACGTAACTGATACAGAGGACATTGTCGGAGACGCCTGTGGGACACGTGTGATGTGTGTATCTGCGTGCGTGTGTGCGTGCGCTTGTCTCTGTATGCGTGACCTTTTGTGATGTAGCCTTAACCATTGGTGACCTTCCTCCCGGTTCTCTGACCTAGGCAGGGTCACCCGGGGGAGGGAAGCTCAGACCCCAGACGGACGGCAGAAGTGCCAATACGGGAAGAATGGGTGCGGGGCAGCCAGGCAGCCCTGGGAGGGAGGAGGGACCCCGCTGAGCTTCGGGGCCCTGCCTGGGGCTCTTCAAAGGCAAGGGGTGGGGTGGCGGGACTGAGAGGGGCTTGCAGCAGGGGCTGGACTGCACAGGTGGACAGATGGGGGTTGTGGGGCTGAGGGGGGCTTGTGGCACAGTTGGAAGTACGGATGGATGGCCGGCAGGGTGGGCAGCCCCGCACCCGCACGCCCCTCCCGCTCGGCGGTCGCGCCGCGCTGTCTGGAGCGCCCGGCTGGCGGTCGGTTAACGCTGACACGGGACTGGGGGGCGCTCACACGGTGTACGTTTTGACGGATTTGTAGAGGGGCGGCAGCAACCCGCGGTTGTCGCGGACAACTTCCAGGTACTCCGAGGGAGTGTCCAGCAAGACGGGCCCACAGCACATGTAGTGACAGCATCGGGCCCCGGCGGGCGGCTCGGGGTTCTTGTCAGACATGGGGGAAAAGTCAAAATCAGCCACCTATGGTGAACGAAACCCCACGGGTCAATCACCCGCCTGCCAGACCCCCGTTCGGTGGCCTTACGAGCTCAGCTGCCTGGCGGCTCACGGTGCTGCCCCATGCCCTTGGCTTTTCTGCTCCCGGGCCCTTCCTCCTTCGGTTGCCCCCCCCACCCCCACCCCAGCACCGGGCACAGCTTCTCGTTAAGGGGTGAGCGCAGCAGGGAGTCAGATGGGAAGAGGCCAGCTCAACGTGGTCCGTCTATGAATGCGTCTCGGGCACACCGCCCCCAGCCCTAGGACCTCGCTCTGACATCCAGGCCCCCGCCAGGCCCCTCTTCTCCAGTCAGGGCCCCGTGATCCAGCCCCCACCCTCCTGAGCACCCACCTCTACCATGTCCTTCTGGTGAGCGGCATTCCGGAGGGTCATGTACATGATGAAGGCCAGCATCATGGTGATCAGCGTGGCACACGGGAAAGCAAAGACAGCCGGCTGGATGCCTGGGAGTGAGACACGGTGAAGTCACGGGTCTGGGGAGTTGGTGGTGAAGGCCGGCTCTCAGGCCGCGGTGGGGGACAGCTGAGTCAAACCCCACAAGGGCTATCATTTCCTTAGGTACCTGCATCCCAACGAGGCAACCCCAACAGGCCAATCTAGGAGTCTACAAACGCCAAGTAGGGCTGTGTTAGGGTTCTAAAATACGTCCCCATGTTACTTGATGGTCTCTTTCAAGAGGTGCAGCTAAATCCCCCACCCCGAGTGTGGGCTGGATTTAATGACTCGCCCTAATGAATAGCACAGGACAGGAGCCACGACCAGGCCATCAAAGAAATCACAGCTCCCTCCCCACTCTCTCTTGGGTGACTTGTGTTGGGAGACGGGAAGCCATGTTGTGAGGACACGCCACAGCCTTGTGACCTGTCGTAGCTGTCTGCGCTCCACCAGCTCTAGGCTCCCTGCGCCCCTGAGCCAGGAAGCTGTGTGGCGGAACAGGGAGAACCCAGGGTCTGCAGTTAGGCGGTCCTGGGTTCGAACCCGGCTCTGACCATGCTCCCTGATGCTGATGCTGACCCACGAGGCTGCTTCAGGGATGCCACGAGGGGAGGGGTGTGAATGTGCCAGGCGCACGGCAGGGGATCAGCAAGTGTGGGTCCCCCTCCCCCCTCCCCCACCCTGCCCCTGGTGTAGACACCACTGTGTGCCGTGAGGTTCTGCTTCCCGGGAAAAGTCAGCACTGATTACCTGGAATGCTGTGTCCTCTGCAGGATTCAGGGGGTCCCGAGGCACTCAGTGCCCAGGAGAGGCTGGGGGAGGCAGGGCCCCAGACCCTCATGGGGCCCACAAGGCCAGCCAGGGCCCAGAGCACAGCATCTGCCCAATGGCTCAGAAAGGGACTGGGGAGACTGGGGCAGCAGTGCACTTGTGGGTCCAACCCTGGGGACAAGTGCAGGGACCTGGCTGGGCACCTGAAAGACCATCCCTTAGGGTTCTCCTCTACGTAAGGAAGTGCTTTTCTGGGGTCGCAGGAGAGACCCCCCCTAGAAAAGAAGGGTAGAACTTCACGCCATCATCAGCTAGCCAGCGGCCAGGCCTGACGGTGACTCAGGGAAGGACGTTCCGGGGGCGGTGGCCAGGGGTCCTGGCAGATGACAGGAACCCCACTTCACACTTTCTGAGCGGCGCCCACTCCCTGGGGGCTGGTTTTAGTGGTGACCTCGGTGCCAGGATCGGGGTGATGGCAGAGGAGGGCATTGTGATTGTGGGGGCCCAGCGGGAGAGTGCTCACGACGGGGACAGCGCGGCACTGGTGATACGTGGGAAGGACACCGGGACAGGGACGGTGGCAGTGAGCGAGAGCTCAAGCCGTCTTGCTGCTGGGCGGCACGGGATCGATGGCCCGGGTCCAGACGGTGCCGGAGGGGCCGCGGGGAGTGTGCGTGGTGCTTGCGTTGCAGGGCGGTAGAACCGAGGGGTGCTAGGGCCGGCCGGGGGCGGTCTGGGCACACGGTCAACCGTGTTGGCTGGGCCAGCAGGTTTGGTGACGATTCTCGTGTTGGCGGAAGCGCGGGGTCACTTACTGGAGGGCCACACCTGGATCCTATGGTATTGGTGTGTCTTACTGATGACGTTCTCAGCCCGGATGCTGAAGCAGTAGTCCCCGGGATCCCTGAAGGTGTGGGTCAGATTGTAGGCCGTGCTGGCCACCGACATGGGCTGGCATTCTCCCTCCTCCAGCGGCAGGCACTCGGGCTTGAGACGCCAGCACACGGTCAGAGGGGGGCTGCCGGGAAGTGGGGGTGGGTTTTCAGCCACGGCCCAGCAAGGAGTGTGAGCACAGACCAAGGCTGAGAAGGGCCAGACAGCCGTGAACCTAGCTGTCCTGGCCTCTGCTTCACCCCTTCCAGACCCAGGGAACACAGTGGTAAATAAGAGATGCCCCCCCCTCCGACCCCAAGGGGGTGCCAGGCTAGTGAGGCAAACAGGGATAGGCACAGAGTGCTGGACGAGGCAGGACAAGTGCTCCGGTGACACACGGGGAGTGCTGTGGAGGCACAGGGGACAGGTGGGTGCATTCTTAATGAGGAAGTCAGGGAAGGCTTTTCGGAGGAGGTGGCATCTGAATAGGATCTGAAAAGATAAGTAGACGTTTGACAGGCTGGGAGGGGCGAGGGCGTTCCGGGTTACCCACCTGCCACAGCACAGGCTCAGAAGCTGGAAAGCACAGGTCCATCTCAGCAACGTGGAGCAGGCAACCCCAGGCCCCAGTGAAACACCCACTCCTGCCACCTCAGCCATCGGGTCTGCCAAGCCCACTCTTCAAGTGCTAAGCACCTGCCCCCAAAGCTTCAGAAACCTCCTCCAGCCCCATGGCTCGTCTTCGTCTTTTCTTGGCCGCTTTGCTTGCTCCCCATCGAGCCTTGCTTCCCTGTTGTGGCCCTGTGTTGAGGGGTGGGGCCGGTCCTCCCCACCCAAGTCCCTGCAAGGCTGAGCCTGGACCACCGACCTCTGCGGCCCCTGAAGGGCTGAGCCTGGACCACCGACCTCTGCGGCCCCTGAAGGGCTGAGCCTGGACCACCG